AATTTCTTTTTTTATTGTATTCTATTTTTTTCTTTTTCTTTTTCTTTTTTTTTTTTTTCCTCCCCCTTATTATTTCTATTCATTCGAATCGATTACGAATCATTGTTTGAATCGTTTTTACTTTCCACTTCCTAACTTACAACTAACTGGATGTAATATTAGATATGGTTAAAAAGAATTCGTAACGGGCCAACTATTTCATGAATAATGAAAAAATTCAACGGGTTGAACACGGAAGAAATTTAACCGGTTGCGTTCCATGTGTACTAACTCAGTTTCGAATCGTGCCTTATACGTATCGTTATCGTTTAGACTTGCTTTCACGTAATACGTGTTGTGCAATATACATTTTTTTTTTGTTTTGATACTTGTACAAATGCTATATATTTCAATAAAATAAAAAAAAAAAAAAAAGGATAAATTGGAATCTATATAGCCGTGAAGAAATTAAAATTTTTTTCGAATATTTCGCACTATATTTCTTGTTATAAATTATTCCTAAGAATATATATAAAACATATAAATTTCTCTTTTATCTTCAACTTATAATAAATTGTTATAAAATTATAATATCATGGTAATATACGAAGTATTGATAATATTATAATTATAGTATTTATCAAAATATTTTCAAGAAAGTGATGCTAATTAGATAAAAAGTTGGATAAAAAGTAGGAAATTTTGGTGTAATAAATAAAAAAAGAGGAATGATAAAAGAGTATTATCATAATATGATGAATTATAAAAAACCAGAAGTACCGTATATTATGTCACATTCTGGAAAAATTATGTACCCGTTATGTACTTTTTACGCTGTAATTAATAGCCTAGTTTCGTTATAAAGTTATGTAGCAACCCGAAGAAAGAAAAGAAGGGTTTAAAGCGAATGGGTCGAGACTTTCTTTTTCTTTTTCGATCATTCTTTCTCATTCTTTCTCAATATTTATTCTTTGTTTATTCTTTTCATGATCCTTTCTTTAAACTTAAATTTTTCTTATTCATTTGTTTCTTTACATTAACAAAAACAATTCAAATCTCATAAAGTAAATCTATCTTAAATTTTTTAGAAAATAAATTAAGAAAATTTTTAATAACATTTTCTGGCCAATCTAGAGGAACAACATTCCATAATTATATATATATATAATGGATCCAGGTTAAAATAAAATTAAAATATCAAGTTAAATTGCAGCCGTGCCTACACTCCAGGATTGGGTAGATAAAATGTTAGGAAAACGAAATGCAAGAATAAAATCGACACTATGGTATTTAGGCGAGCCTTATAAACTCTTCAAGAGGGGATGAAAGGTTCATAAAGGCTTCGAATTTGTTGGATAACCAGTGGTGCTTCGATTTTGTTAACTGTGAAATCGGTCGAATATTGATAATATTTCGAATTTCGAAACGAAACTGTTAAAATATATTTAAATTAACAATCGAATAATTTTCACGTTATGTAATATCGTTACCTTACTTTCGTCGAATGAATACTTTCGCAGAGCACGAGATTTTCGTATAAGAGTACATTTATCGAGTGCCTCGCGAGTGCAATAATTTCTTTGGTCATTCAAATCTTTATTTTTATTTTTCTACAATTATTTTTTTTTTTTTTTTTTTTCTAATATTTAACATTCTTCCCAAACACTTCGGTTCATTCGGTTTATCGATTTAGATTTATTTATTTTTATCTTCTCGTTTAACTTATTATTAACTTACTATTAACTTCATTATTTTCTTCTTTCAGTGTACGATGTCTTCCGTAAAGGATGATGCGATAGTTGTAAATTCACAACTGAGACACTCTGTGTCCACTCTTTGGTTCTTCCTCACCTTCGAATTCTTAATTAGCACCTTTCTGAGTATTTTCCTGGCCATTCTCACGTTCATAAAATCTTTATTGCCGAAACCACCCAGGGATTTAACAGGAGACATAATTTTGGTAAGAATACCAAAATATTTCCCCTTTTCGGCTTCCGTTATTCCTCTCGAAAATTCTTACTCTTCCTTACTTACTTCGAATTCTGAATTATGAATTGATAAAATATATATATATATATATATAAAATATATTAAGATTAAAATAAAAAAAGAATCGAAATTATTTTTAATTTTAATTTTTTCTTTTTTTCAGATTGCCGGCATTTCTTCCTCATTAGGCGAGTCTTTGGCGAGTGAATTTTTAAAAAACGGTTGTTCCGTGATTTGCGTGGACAAAGATTCGAAAACGATCGAGGAAACGGTATCCAGATTGAAGCAACGACATTTGATCGTCGAGGCGAGATCGCAGAGGAGGAACGAATCGTCGCGATCCGGATCGATGATATTCACTTACGAGTGTGATTTCTTGGATAAAGATGCGATTAGAGGCACCGTTCAAAAAGTGAAAAAAGATATTGGAAGAATCGACGTTCTGATTACTTGTATCAACGAATCGAACGAGAATATCTTCGACGCGAGCAGCAGGACATTGATGGCCCATTTCTGGGTATACGTTATTATTATTATTATTATTATTTAAAATTATATATATATATATATTTTTTTTCGCGCAGACAGTTTTGACGTTTCTTCCAATGATGTTGTATCAAAAACGAGGCCATATAATTGGTGTTACTCCAATCTCATTGAACAGCGACGCTTATCATAGCTCCAGAGCGGCTATAATGTGTTAGTAATATTCGAATAATAATCTTTCATCGCTGTACTATAAATATATTTTTTATCTATTTATTCAACGTTCGTACCGTATGTATTAATTTATCAATGTTTGATAAATGGCCGATACAGATTTCATAGAAAGTATGCGTCAAGAATTGAGCGAGCACAGCAGTTACTTAACATTTTTGGCATATTCTCCAATTGCAAAATCCAGGTAATAATATGTGTGGGGATAATTTTTCATCTATTTCAACGACATAGATTTAAATTTTTTTTCATCTGATTTATCTTATTTGATTTTATTTATGATGATCATTTAAAGCTCATTGAAGCAAAGTGAAGAAGAAGTAAGCAAGAACATAGTAAGAGCAGTGAAGACTGATCAGTATAATGTGAGCTGGACGTTCAAACTATTGTATCAAATAGGGTATATTGAATGATTTATTTTATTTTTTACAAATCATGTAATAAATAAATATTAAAATGAATGTAAAGTTTGAGAATCAGCTATATGGTACAAGTTTTTATTCTATTTTTTTTTTTGTATATACAACAAAAATTAATTATCTTTTTCATTTTATTTATTTATTTTTTTCAGTTGCATAATCTATAATGGAATAACGTTGCTCACAAACTGGATCGACTTTAACAGATGCGATTATCCCACGTGAAAAACGAGTTTTTCCTCATCCTTCTCTGGTCAGAATCAAAGATTGAACAGAAGATGGTCTATGAACGACGAATATAATACACAGCCTAAAAAAAATTCACTTAAAAATTTGTTTCACTTCGATGAAAAAGTAGCTAAAGTATGTATTCCGTGCGAAACAAAATTTTATTCCAACTGTTCATATGTTCTTATTTTAAATATAATTTAAAAGTCGACACAAGTTTAAGATAAATACTTTCAAAAAAAAGGACGAAAAGTTTAAAGAGTCATCATTAACATAATTACAAGATATGCAAATCTCGATACGAAAATATATATAAATTGTATCTATTAAAAAGAGAAGAATAACGTGTATCTAGATTGAATCTTCAATTCTTTTTTTTTTTTTTTTTTTTTTTTTTTTTTTTTTTTTTTTTTTTTTTTTTTTTTTTTTTTTTTTTTTTTTTTTTTTTTTTTTTTTTTTCTTTTTTTTGCTCGAAAAACATTCGTCAATCGGGAACCAGCACGTCATAATGACCGCTGTCCGAGTTTCCAGTGAATAAAAGCCTAGCTGTCTCGAAGTGAGAGCTAACGTGATTGTAAAACACTCGTTTAAGCTCGTGCCTGTCGTTTATCTCGCGATAAATCGACAGATTCATGTCGTATAACTTGGTGGCCACCGTGCATTCGAGTTCACTTGCAAATGTGCCCACCATGCTCATGTAATTGTCATAAGTTTGTCTATCCGATATGTTCCATTCAGCTATCACGAAAGGCCCGTACTCGTGCCAATTTTCCTTGATGTGTTGCACGACCTATCGAATTTCAGAATTTCCATCATTTTTCTGATAAATAAGAAGCGTGAAAAGAAACGAAGAGAATTGATCGGAGAATTTGAAGAATTATTATTAGAATTAGGAAATGTCAATGATAGATTAATCATCATAGATAAAAATGTCATTAATAGATTAAATTATTAGAAATAATTTGGAAATGCATTTATGATTTGATTAACTAAAATAAGTATAATCGTTTCGAACAAACGATTAATCGAATCAATTAATTTTAACACGGTGTAGAGAGAAATAAATAAATCATACCATTGAACGAAGGTATCGGTGTTCATCCTCGTTTCGCCATAAAATGTAGCTAATCGCTCGAAACATGCAATTTCCATCGCCATAAATATTATGCACGCGAAACGTGCCTTCAGTACACCTTAAACGAGCCGTACCTGTGATATAATGATAATAAAAATTTGCGTTGTTATTTGTGTTTAAAATTTTATCTTTTAGAATTTTTATTGAATGAAATAAAATTAAAAAAAAAGAAAAAAAAAAAAAAAAAAAGAAAAAAAAAAAAAAAAAGAAAAAAAAAAAAAAAAAGAAAAAAAAAAAAAAAAAGAAAAAAAAAAAAAAAAAGAAAAAAAAAAAAAAAAAGAAAAAAAAAAAAAAAAAGAAAAAAAAAAAAAAAAAGAAAAAAAAAAAAAAAAAGAAAAAAAAAAAAAAAAAGAAAAAAAAAAAAAAAAAGAAAAAAAAAAAAAAAAAGAAAAAAAAAAAAAAAAAGAAAAAAAAAAAAAAAAAGAAAAAAAAAAAAAAAAAGAAAAAAAAAAAAAAAAAGAAAAAAAAAAAAAAAAAGAAAAAAAAAAAAAAAAAGAAAAAAAAAAAAAAAAAAAAAAAAAAAAGAAGAAGAAGAAGTTCATAGATATAAAATGAGTATTGTATATGTCAAAATGTACCTCTTTTAAAAAAAATAGAACGCCTATTTTTATCTCTTTTAACACGTCTACGTGAACAAAATTGTTCACAGGGTATCCAATCAGTTTGTTGAACACCGGAAACGTGGATGTAGAAGTCTCCGCGGTCCAGATGCAATTCGTTTCTGAATCGATTGTACTTTTTCGCATTCTTGGGCAGCGACGAGCGACGTACACATTTATCTATCAATAAAATACATAGATAACATACATTATCTATCAATAAAATACATAGATACATAGAAAGTGATAAATATTTTTATAAATAAATATTTTTAAAAAAATATATTTAATAAAATAAATAAAGTTTATTTGTTCTCTTTTTTTAAATTTCTTTGTTTAAAATTTCGACAAGTGCTTATAAGATAGTTTTTTCCAATTTTATTTTCTTCTTTTTACCTTCTTCAAAGATGTGGTTACAGAATATGAAGCACCAGAGACAAGGTAGGAAAAATGCCTTTAAAAATTTTAATATATGGACTTTAGTAATGTCCAGCTTAGATTTTCTTCAATACCAAGAAAATTTGCCAGCCTAATCAATTGCTGCATTTTTTTTATTAATATTCAAGCTTGGCTCAAAAAGAGTTCTATATGTGTAGGTATATCTTTCCTTTTCTTTTTTTTTCAAATTAATTTTATGTTTATTCGCGTGTGAATAAGTTATACAAGCATAATTTCGCTAATTGACATTATCATTTTGAAAAGTTTGATCTGAAATTTGATGTTCTAATGTCTTTTTTTTTATTTCACGATGCTTGCATGTGATTGACTGGAAAATCAAATTTTCAATATGAATCACGGAATTTCATTAATATTTTTATATTTCTTTTTTTTTAATCTTATTTTTTTCTTTTTTTTTTTCTAAAAAAATTCTTTTTCCTAATTCTCTCAACTTCTATGAGTTTCTCGCTTTGAAATATCTGCGTATATATTTTTTTACGATATTACTCAATTATTTTTGAAAATTATAGAATTTTATAATATTTTTTCTTTAATTATGTAAACTGTTAATGGAATACATTTCATTCATAATTAAAAGGAAGATTGAAAAATTTTGCGAAACAACATCATCTCCCGGATGAATACTAAAAGCTACTATTAGTAATATAGAATATACAAAAAAATATTCGTGATAAAGTAGGAATTAATAGATAAGTAAGAATTAAAGATGAACGCCATCTTTTGATTGTTAAAAATATTTTTATATAAACATTTAACTAGTGGCGCCATCTCTTTGAAAGATGTTCGAACTTGAAGTATTTTTGACATCAACAAGATGTCACTAATAATCAATTCCTAATTTTGTTCTCACACTATTTTATCTTCTTGATCTCTATCTATATAATTTTATTTGCAGCATTCTAGAAATACCCCATTCTAGAGATTTCAATATTATTAATCTATTTTCATCCTTCTTCCACTATTTGTTTTTCTCTATTATAAAGTCTGATATATTAATTGAATACATACAAGAAAATTATAGAAAATAATTATTCAATTAATTATGTTATTCAATATTCAATATTATAGTTATTCAATATTAATTATTTGATATTATAATATTATATATTCGATATTATTCTATAACATATTTAAAAAACATATTTCATGTTTATAATTAATATAATGTATAATATAAATGTATATAATTATTTCATTTTACAATATAAGTATATATATTATTATATTAAAATTAGTCTTACTAGTAGCGTTATATTTTTATTAAATTTGCGATGAAGAAGAGAGCTAACATTTAACATAATACATTTTTGAATTTATCATTTTAATGTTATTCTATTCGTATAATATCTTTCTTTTTTACCGATTCTATTTTCTATCGATTCAGATCAGTATAAGGCTTTTTGTCTACGAGATGTCGCGACAGTCGCATATCATGGATATCTATTGTCAAATAAAAATAATACATAACACGACGTTGTGACGAGATATACGTTCTTAAAATAATTTATAAGTTTACAAATTAAATTTTTGCTATGTCCAAAGCAAAAGTATCTGCAGAATGGAAAAAGCGAGTGAAATCAGAATATATGCGTTTACGACAAATGAAACGCTACAAACGAGCAGATGAGGTAAAAGTAGCTTGGAATCAAAATCGTAAGGTTATGTCTGGTTAGTATATTTTTTTTCTTTTATTATTTTACAAGAGCAAAAAGTCTTTAACTTTCCTTACTTTTCAGAACTTTTAATGTCTGAACAAAAAAGATGGGCAGATGGAAAAGCAATGTGGCTTGCAATGCAAGATATACCACCGCATGTATCTTGTATGAAAAAGGCTGAAGTAACTAGTTCCGATAACGAGATACAAACCTGTCCTGTTAAAATTATTAATGCAGTTACTCCTATACCAACCATGTATACTTGGGCACCAATACAACAAAACTTTATGGTTGAAGATGAAACTGTGTTGCATAATATACCTTATATGGGAGATGAAATTTTAGATCAAGATGGTACATTTATCGAAGAATTGATAAAAAATTATGATGGAAAAGTATATACAAAAATAAGAATAAGAATTAATTTTATTATAATGAAATAACTTAATGCTTATGAGAAATTTTAATCAATTAATTATAGGTACATGGAGACAGAGAATCAGGTTTCATGGATGATTCAATTTTTGTGGATCTAGTAAATGCTTTAATGCAGTATGAAAAAGAAGATAAAGATAAAGAACAAATTAAAAAAGGAAAGGATAAAGAAGATGATAGAATTAAAATAGAAGCTAAAAATGAAAAATTATTAGAAGAAGCTAAAACTGATAAAAATCCATTTCCATCTATGCACATATTTAATGTAAATAAAATATGTAAAAATATTATGTTTTATTATTTGTATTATATATATTTGTATTATAATATTATTATATTAATTCTTTAGGCAATATCAAGTATGTTTCCGGACAAAGGTAGACCAGAAGAATTGAAAGAAAAATATATAGAATTAACAGAAAAATCAGATCCAAATATTTTACCACCAGAATGTACACCAAATATCGATGGAGTAAATGCAAAGAGTGTAGCTAGAGAACAAACAATGCATTCTTTTCATACATTATTCTGCAGAAGATGCTTTAAATACGACTGTTTTCTCCATCGTGAGTATAAGAATAACACACAAAAGCTTTACTTCTCTCTCTCTCTCTCTCTCTCTCTCTCTCT